TCTCTCTCTCTCTCTCTCTCTCTCTCTCTCTCTCTCTCTCTCTCTCTTTCTTTCTTTCTTTCTCTCTCTCTCTTTCTCTCCCTCCCTCCCTATCTATCCTATCTATCCATCCATCCATCCTGCTATCTATCCTGCTATCTATCTATCTATCTATCTATCTATCTATCTATCTATCTAGTCCCACAACAGTGGCGGGACTCATCTCCTGGGGGGATGAGTCTGCCTACCGAGACGAGGTGGACCGGTTGCTTTCGTGGTGTGGAGACAATAACTTGGTCCTCAACACCAATAAGAACAAGGAGCTTATAGTGGACTTTAGAAGGAACAGATCAGACATCCAGCCCTTGCTTATCAATGGAGAGACCAGGTGGAGCAAGTGGCCAGTTTTAAGTTTCTGGGTGTTACCATAAAAGAGGACCTGACTTGGGTTGCTCACATTGCAGCCCTAGTCAAAAGGGCCCAGCAGAGATTATTTTATTTATTTATTTGTTTTATTGGTCAATCGCTTACAAAATAATAGGTATAAGTATATACATAGTTATGAATACATGAAATTGATACATATGAGAAAAATAAAAGAAACAATAGGACAGGGACGGTAGGCACGTTGGTGCGCTTATGCACGCCCCCTACAGACCTCTTAGGAAAGGGGTGAGGTACTGAGACTTCTCAGGAAACAACAACTGAATGAGAAACTGCTGGTGACCTTCTACCGCTGCACCATAGAGAGCATCTTAACTTACTGCTCCTCTGTATGGTTTGCCAATTGCACAGGGGCAGATAGGAAAGCACTCCAGAGGGTGAACGTCATTGCCCAGAGGATCACTGGTTGTCCTCTCCGCTCTTTGGAAGAGCTTTATAGCTCCCGCTGCCTTAAGAAAGTTCAAAACATTCTTAAACATTCTTCCTCATCCTTGGAACCCCTTTTTTGAACTATTACCATCTGGCAGACGGCACAGAATAAGCACAATAGACTGAAAAACAGCTTCTATCCCAGGGCAGTAGCTCTTTTGAGTTCTACTGTATAGTGTAGTGTTGGTGCGGTGTTGGGGGTTTTCGGTTCAATGTGTGGAGTGTGAAGGAAGTGTGTTTGTGTTTATTTTCATGGTCATGATGTGCAATGAAGATGGTGTTCAATTTCATTGTACAGGTGCAATGACAATAAAGTAAAGTAAACTAAACTTAACTAACCTATATCTGTCTGTCTGTCTATCTATCATCTATGCCGTGTGAAAGCTTGTGGCCATTAAGTTTTATGGACGGTTTTACAGGGCTGGGCTTGTTACATAGGACGTTCATCATAAATTGGTTTTAAGCCCACAGAGAAGAGGAGAACCTCGTTTCGTTGTTCGAAGGCTCTCATTTTATCACAACGGTTAGAAAGAACAGGGAAAGAAAATATCCAGCCTTTCCCTTCTGGCCATGTGCTGCAATCAGGTTGATTTAGGAAATCGTAAATGGCTTCACATTTCCTTCCACTTTGGGCAGCCATAAAATGCGTTGGAAGGGTTGGGTGCAAAATAGAAAGAGGACGCGTGCAAGAGAAAAGTTGTGTTTTTATTTTTATTCTCTTCCTGGACCTTTTTTTGTGGAGCCCAGATCACTTCCTCTCTTTCTGCCTAACTGATTCTCACCCCCTCCTGCGAGGGGAACCGTGTTAAAGATCCCTGCGCAAACTTGTTGTAAAAGACTAAAAAAATAAAAAAATCTACCCCTTTTCGTGCCCAATTCCGGCTTTGTAACCGCAACATGGCAGGGACTCTTTACCCGGTCTTGACGGATTCTGCTTAAAAGAAGGAGCTATAATGGGTAGACTGGTGGCATTCTGGCTAATAAAGATCCCGGAAGACAGTTTTGGGACTCCAACAAACTTGTGGGCAGAACTTCTTTAGAATTATGCTCTAATTCGGCTAGTATTTCTCAACTTCGGCAACTTTAAGCTGGCTGGACCTCCACTCTCAGGGCTGGCTGGGGAATTCTGGGAGTTGAAGTCCACCCAGCTTAAAGTTGTTGAGGTCGAGAATCCCAAAGGCGCTTTTTCAAAAGGCAGCTGGACTTTGTTTCTCCTTGAAGAGGTTTTGCTTCTCACCCAAGGAGCTTCTTCAGTTCTTCAAGGAAGATCCAAAGTCCAGTTGCCTTCTGATAAACTACCTTTGGAACCACTGTGACTTAGTCTTAGACAACTGAGAATCTCCACAGACAATTTGAAACACTGAATTTGCCTCCTTTTCCTTCCTTCATCCTCCTTTTCCTTCTGGACCAAAGAGGTGGGCTATTTTATCCGCACAAAAACCTTGGCAGGGAGTTTGGACTGAAAATTTGACAGGCTCAAGGAAGTTTTCCAAAACTGAGCAAGGACTACAATCTGGGGGTTCCGGGTTCCTAACCCGACTCCTTCCACCCTTTTCCCCCACATGGGATGATCCCAATGTTTTGAGAAGCCTATAGAAAAAGTATTCCTTGGTCAAACATCTGTCTGCCTCTTTCAGGCAAATTGCACCAGCCACGAATATTGCTGTGACACAAAGCGCTTTGCCAATTTGCCCAAATCTGGCACGATCAACTTTCCAGAAAGCCAAAGTTTAAAAAAAAACCACACACATTCTGTGCATGGGATGAAAGCAGGAGCGAGAATAGACAAACCCGGTTTCCAGGCTGAAGTGAGGCTTAAGAAGGAAGGAAGATTAGGTCCAACGTGAGAAGCCAGGAACTGGGCAGCGGGCGACTTACCTCGCAGTGGCCAAACCAGGCCAGCTCGGTGTGCAGCACCATGAGGAAGATGCCAAGCAAGGCCACCAGCAGCGACCAGCCCGCCAGGTTCTTCTCTTCGCCCAGCAGGCGTTTCCGTCCGCGAAGGCGACGCAGATTCTCGCCAGGCTCCGTGGGGATGTGGAGGGCGCGGGTCTCAGCTAGGTCCTGCTTGATCTGCATCTCCTGTCCGTTGCTGGGGGCGGAGGAGCGCTTGGTGCCCGGAGCTGGGAGGCAGGGGTTGAAGACCCCTTGGGCAGCCCCCCATCCCTGCCTCTTGAGCAACCAGCAGGCAGCCAGGACGAGGGTGGGAAGGAGGGAGAAAGAGAGAAGGAAGAGAAAGGAAGGAAGGAGAAAGGAAAAAAGAAAGAAAGAAAAGAGAAAGAAAGAAAGAAAGAAAGAAAGAAAGAAAGAAAGAAAGAAAGA